AAAAAAATATATATAGACAATCTGATGATGCAAAGAACATGCAGTCTGGTAGTTTAAAAAAACAAAACAAAGTACAAACACGGATTCAACATCCATGTCACTCTGAGACAGTGCAAAGTCGTGGGGCTGCTTAACAGTCTATCATCCTTAGAAAGCAAACTGGGGGGAAAACAAGTTGTGCGAGACACGGGAAACAAGCAACGGGGCATATCATGTTCATTTTACACACATGTACAAAGATACATGAGAGGCACGTTTTCTTTTGATGGGTAATAACCACCTACGGGGTCATCGTGTCAGATTTTAATCTTGTCCTTTTTATCTAAGTGAGAAGATGAAGTCCTCTGAACTCTTCTATCAGTCTATGGATTCAGTCATCGAAGAAGAAGAGCTTCTAGAGAACATCGACTTCCTGTTTCCTGATGAGAACCCTTTGATAATTAGCTGCTCACTTTACAGAGTTTCTCTTAAAAGGTGTTTTTATATAAGACTTTAAAATAAATCCAGAAGTCCAAATGTTTCAATGATTTTCCGCATTCCCACAATATAAAGCTCAATACTTCCAAACACAGTGAGGAATTAAAGGGTCAGAGGGGAATGAAAGCTCCAAACACGAGACGGTCAAGGCTCCTGCACGCTTTTCATTTCAAACACCTCCTCTTTGTTTACTAGACTCAAGTCGTACAGTGTGTAGTCGGGATCGGGACCTTTGCTTTCTTTCCTCTGTTACTCGAGTCAGACTACGTTGCAACTTCCTCGGCGCTTGCAGGAACACCAAACATTACAAAAAACCATCGAAAGCCACTTCCGACGTCTCCATTAAGGTCAGTAGCATCAGCATCTCCTTCTACAGAGATCCCAAACTGCATCACACCAAGATACTCGACAAGTCCGACAACTGGTGTGTGATGAAGCTTAAAACACAAACTAAATAACATAATCACAGATTCTGTCAAAGCTCTAATGCAGTAGGCAAATTATGCAAGAGCAGAGCCAGCGCTCCAGTGGATGTTTTACCTCAGCAGCAAGACTTCAATACAGCCCCCAAAACACTGTTTAAATTACCGTTACTGCTCTGCCGAGGAAAATAAGAGAACACTCATACCGTTGATCTTCCCTCATATCCCAACATGCACCAGCCAAACAAACCGATTTTAGTTTAGTCTGATTTAAAAAAAGAAAGAAAAAGTGCCTCAGTAGACGTCATACAGGCCGAATTTCTCAGTGGATTCGATCAGGTGCTGATGAGGCACGCATGTTTGTAAAACCGAAATGATGAAACTGAGAAATACCAGGGGAAAAACAAATCAATGTAAATACAGTTAATGTGTAGCCATATGGGAGAGTATCGAGGTGAGGCACTGCAAGTAGTGGCTTATAAACCAAAAAGCCCAACAGCCCCACGGTCAAGACGCCGTCTCAGCACAGCCCTCAATCTGATATGCACTGCTCTACATATTACAAATGTCAGGAGTTTAATCAATGTAAGGCATCAAATTTTGATTATTATTATTTTGGTGGCAAAATTTAAACTTTGTGGGCTACATACAGAATCCCCAACTTACTTTAACACCATTACGCTAATGAGAAGTCTTCAGCATAACTGTTAAGAAACGTGAGTGTGGATGAAAGCAAACAAACAAACTGGTCTTCATTTGGACCAACTTTTATCACAGACAGTACTGAAGGGGGAAGGACAACACAACAGAGCAGCGGGTTATAAAGCAAAACAAAAACATACCAAAAAAAAATATTCACAGCCATCGGTGAAGGAGCCGTCGTCATGTCTCGGATACGCCTTTGAAGAGGTCGTGGGGTTTCCCCTGGCTTCCTCCAGGGCTGATGTGCTGGCTCTGTGGCCGACAGAGGAGCCGTGTGGAGCGCCCAGACGGGAGTCCTGGTACTTTTTTTTTTTTTTTTTTTTAAAGGCCTTTATCCTCCATTCAGGGTCAGAATCACACCCTTCACTGCGACGCCAGTTCAGAAGAGGCAGGAGGAAGAAATTCTTGGCAACAGGAGAGGGAAGAGGAGGGAGCAACAGTCTTCTTTTGTGTGTTGTACAGACTGTGGAGGCTGAAAAAACCAGTGTGTCATATTGCACAGTTGGAAGGAAAAGTAGAGCCAGACGTGTGACCGGGAGTTTAATGGCTGCTGAGAGTTGTTATATGGGTGTTGAAGCGGTGTTTTGCTGTGTTGCTCAGTGTTAAAAACATCAGCAGCATTGTCTTTCTGATTCTTGAGTTGACAAATACACGCGCACACAAACACACGCAGGGCTGAAGGTCGGAGACGGCATCTATGAGTCCAGAGAATCAGCTGGAGAAAGAAAGAAACAAAGACATGAGAAAAGACAGGAGTGCATATATTTTGATTTTATTCAGCTTTTTCATCCTCTAATCAAGTAATGTATTCCCTTGAAAACTTTATTCAAAAAACATAAACACAGGCTGTTGGCTATAAATTGCTACCTGGGCATATGCAAAGAGTTGAGGCATAAACAATAAGAATAATGAATAATATCACAAACTAACCACTTCCTACTACCAATTTGAATTCACTTTTTATACAAATAAAAAGTGAATTTAAAGTGCCCACTAGGGGGCCCCAGCTCACACTTTGGGAATCACTGCTCTAACAGGCCGCAGTCTCCCTCCCCTCACCTTCCTGTGGCGGGTCAACACTGATCTCCTCCGTCTCCTCCGTGTCATCTCTCATCTCCTCGTCTTCGTCAGCTTCTAGCTCGCTGGCGATGAGCTGGCGGGCTAGCTTGATGTTTAGGCCCTCATTGTAGTGCATCTTCCTCATCATCTGAAACTGTTTCTTTTTGGCTACAGGGGACAGAGACATTTGAAATCACTTTAATTTGCCAAAAGCAGCGAGTTCAATGCTGGCATGTTATAACTATAATGATAAAACAGAGCTTTACTTGTGACTCATGGAAAGGTTGATGCACTGTAAAAGCATGCAACAATACTGTCCTGCATCTGGCATCAGTAAACAATCTGCAATAGACAATATAGTAACTATAGACAACAATTTAAGTGTCTGCAGTTTTTTATCTGGTCTAAAATAATGAATAAGAGGGAAACACACGTGCCTGTTTTAAAAAAAAAAAAAATCTCAAGCATGGCATGACCTGCAGTCCGGACATTGCAGCGAGGGTCGCTATAGCAACTAAAAGAAGAAAGCCAACATCTTCACACAAAAACCTCAGCAATCATATGGATCGGTTTCACTGACATCCAAGAGAAATGTTCCAGTTACACTTCCAGACTCAAACACTATCCTTCCTCCATCAACAACTAAACACAGAAATTTTCATTCCTTCCCTAATGCCATGTACTCCTGTGGTCATGGAAACGCTCCGATTGACTTTGATTAGCCCACACCGCATCCTCGAGGACACTGATAACCTTCACCGGTGAGTCAGAGTGGATGTTGTGAATGTTTACGCGACTCCTGCATTTCTGCTGTTTGATCCAGCTGGCCTTTGTGTAATGTAAGCAGTTTTGTGTGGAGCCTGTTTGAGACCTAACAGAGGTGCTGCTGGCCTGTGTTTACGCCTCACAGTGTCAGTGATGCGGCACTGGCCAACTCAGCATTTAATGCACACATCTGAGACAGTAAAGGTTACAACGAGGTTTGGCCAAGCAGAAGCAAAGTTTCTAATGTGTGAAACAGTGGGCTAATTAAACCATTTCAGACACTGCATGTACGCAGAAATACAGAGCAAATAAAAACATTTAGTGTCAGTACTTGTTGATGTAAGACTATTTAATCATTTAAAAAAATAAATAACTTTGTGGCTGCATAATAAAACTGTATGAATATTGTTGAGGATGAACGCTGCTACTTTTGCACGCTGGCATGTCCCACTGAGATGAAACCCCGGGATAGTTTACTTCTAATTTGATTAGATTTTCAGATTATTATACTGCAAAAAAACCCATCCAATCCCATCTTTGGGCTTGTCCATTACATAAATAAATTAACTTAATTAACAACAGATAATCTGTGGTAGAAAATTCAGTGTTAGAGTACTTTAATGACAATCCTATTAACATGCACTAACACACATCTGTTGTTATTGCTTTTAACAAATCTTATCATCCTGTTGTGTCACATGATTAAACTGCATGTCAAAAAACTGCTGATGATGCTCTTGCAGTTGGGAGGATATTGACCGGATTTGTGACTTTCCAGACTGTTCTCCCGCTGTTACCTGCACGGGCCAGATATAAATATAAAAGCCAGCAACAGTAATACATTCTGTGTGTGTGTGTGTGTGTGTGTGTGTGTGTCTCCTAATACAGCTCTGCATCTGAGAGCGGAGTGTGCTGAGAGTGTGCACAGAAGGGCAAAGTGGGAGAACAGTTAAACGCATGCTGACAGAAAGACAGTCACTGTGTGTGTGTGTGTGTGTGTGTGTGTGTGTGTGTGTGTGTGTGTGTGGAGGAAGTCAGCAGAAGGTCAAGAGCACACCGAACACTTGAGCTCTTTCTCAGTCTGTCCCCTCTCTGCCAGCACTTGGCTGTGGAGTGTCACTCTGCATTTAGTCACCCTCACAGCTGTGTAGGACACTTTGCGTTGAGGTGGAAGGAATACATAAACAGGTGAACTGCAGGACACACACGCCAAAATAGGCTGCAAGCCCATGACCGCTTCAGAGAAAAAAATTGCAGTATTCCACTGAAATCTGAGTGGATGTCTACCTTGTTCTTCGGGAGTGAGCTCCTCTTCCTCCTCCTCGCTGCTCTCCTCCTCTTCTTTCATGAAGCGAGGCTCTGAGCCCTCTGCTGCCACCAGCCTTAATAAGAGAGAAACAGAAAGGGCATACATTAGGAGATTCACAATCCAATTTTACTTGTCTTAATTGTGGTTTCACTCCATTACACAAGTGTGAAACCAAACGCAAACAGGCAATGACTGATAGAGCCTCAAAGTCACTGTGAGTGGTTAAAACAAACAAATAAACTGGAGAGAAACAAAGCAGGAGAGGCATTAGGGGAGGTGGAAAAACGAGTAGGCAGAGTGAAAAGTGCAGGGATGAGAGTGTGCGAGTACTCAAGCATGAGATAAAAATAACAAAGAGCTTTAACAGAGGTGGACAAAATGAATAACGAGTCATGGCTGAGTGGATGGTAGTGAAAATGTGAAAGTGCCCACGGGGAAGCTCCCATTTACTGTGCAACTGCTCTCCAACCAACCAGCTCGAGAGCTGTTTCTATGTGCTGAAACAACGCTGGCGAAGCATTGTGAAGACAAGAGGAAGAGAGATGGCACGTGAGATACAGTTAAGAAGCAAAGGTAGCACAGGAAAAGCACAGTTGGATAACTGATGGATGACGGGAGCGAGAGAGAGTGGATGCTGAGGATCTAAACGAGGAAGAGCGCAGAGGAAGAGAGCAGCTGCTGCACTATCTGGAGGGTTTAGTGTAAAACAATGGCTGGCACTCATTGCACAAGCAAACAAAGGCGGCTAATTGACTTCCAAGCCTGAAGCTAATCGCTACACTCTGGAGCACACACACTCGAACGAGCTCATCCCCAACTGCGCCGATGCGCTTATGTAAGCACAGTAACTCACAGCGGACACGCTTCTCGAGCTTCCCGTTAGCGTCCGCATCACGGCTCAGAGTGGCTTCTGAACACAGACCTTTTGGATCGCAATAGCAGGAGACAATAAGATGTTATCCGCCCTCCTGCTTTCCATTTGTGTCCATGAATTATGACACAAATCACTTGTTTTGTAAAAGCACCTATCTTCAGTATGCCCTCAAGCTTCAGCTCCTAATTCAGTATTTTCACTCCAAGAGATTACATGTGGAGTGCATTCAAACTGGATTCGATAACACACATACTGTAAAATTCTCAGATTTCAAATACAGACAGTGCCATAGTGGCTTTAGCAAGCGTGTTACAGTATAGAGGAAATTTGTTGGCAGACCAAAAACAGGGTTTAGCCCCAGCCTGAGGACAGCAGAAGAACCTGCAATGTTAGCTGGGGGTTTGTTAGCATAAGCAGTAATAAGATGTCCATGAAAGAAAGCACCTCAAACTCATTGATAAGCAAATCGTGTTTACATCTGTTGTCATCACCAAATACTTATAAGCCCAATACAACACTGAAAAAAGAAGCTTATTTCCGTCCCTACTCTTATTTGACTTCATCATCCGTGATAACCTCACAAATCTGAAGCTAATTCCTTTACAAATAGTGACACTGTTGCTGCAGCATGGCAGATAACTGCAAGGTGACACAGGCACTCAATAGCCTTGCTTTTATACATGAATATACCCAGGTGGCAACAAGTTGAGTCAACTCTCATTGCAAAGCATCGTAGACAAGTTGCACTCGGTGGCTCTGATTGACGATCAGATGGCAATTATTTGCCAACCTTGGTTGGAGACAGGTTGCTTCCCACCTGATGTACGATTGATTCCCTTGGAATTCAAAGTGGTGACTGAAACTACTTGCAATAGGTCACATATTTAAAAACGAATCAGCAGGATGTGACTATATGCTGGCATTATAGTCCTTCCAACTTCCAGCATACATTTAAGTAAAAACACTTATTCATTGGAGTATATTTGAAGTCCTACTTTAACTGAATGGAACAGCTGTTAAGAAAAACACACAGACTGCTTCATATGTTTGTGGATCAGAATATTACTACAAGTTCTGTCACTGGGACTTATGGATAATTGTGCAGTAACATGGCGCTCAGTGTCTGAAAGCCATCGGAGTCATTTTTATGCACATTCCCGTATAAGGACAACAATGATAGCGTCTACAATCAGCTGCACCCTCGCTTTTCATTTGCATTTGTCTCCCAGCGCTCAAGTTCAATTCTTACTTTGATGCCAGGTCATCGACTGCAAGTCCACTTTGGCCGTCTGAGTCACTCAGTGCCCCTTCATCTTCGTCATCCCCAATCATCCTGAAAGAGAAGTTTATAAAGTGGATAATGAAAGCAGGGCAAGAAAAAGTCCTGAACAGTCAGGCACCTCTATAGAAAAAGAAACGAACGATAAACTGCCCTGTAGAGCGCTGTTTTAGTAATATTTAAAATGATATTTTGAACCTGTTGTAAGGTGTGCTGGGTTCATCGATCTTCATCAGGCCGTAATCTTTGTCAGGTGGATGGTATGTGGCCAGGATGTTCATCTCATCCCATTTCTGGGACTTCTTCCTGTAAAATGGATGGAAGAAGAAGGGTTAAACAGACAGTCACTCAATGTGGACCACTGCGCACCCAGCTACCATCCCATCCCAGTTTCCTCCAGGGAGACGAGTGAACAGATTTAATCTAGGACTGAATGTGCCCCAGTTTTCACTCAGACCGCATTATTTTGGGAACACACACACACAAACACACACACACACACGGCCCAGAAATGTCCTCCGCACCAGTTTGTCCCAGCAACTACCAGGAAGTGCCACGGTCTTTGCTTTTGTGTCAAGGTAACACATTGCAGATGAGGGTGTGGGTTTAAGTGGGTGGTGAGGCTTATCAGCTGTGAGTGAATGAGGCCAAAAGTCCAACAACTGACTCATTTGAAACAATCGCATCAAGAGTTGATTCTGGTTCCATCTCTCTTTAGCACGTCTGCTTCTAATCCCTCAAATGGTTTTATTCTCATCTGGGGAATAAGGTTTTCACCTCGGCTTTTTTTTGTTCAAAAATTACACTAATCCGTGCTACCCTTTCAAATCCTTAGAGGAAATGAACTGAGACAAAGACAGCAAATCAGTGCTGAATTTGAATTTTTGCTCAGGAGGATAAAGAGAACACCTGCCACCTGCCAAGAGGAGTGATGCTGGAACGGTTTCTTTTAACTCACAGAAGAAGATGTGTTTTTGCACTGCCAAGAGTTTGGCAGATTTCTGTAGACTTACTTGTAATAATTTCCATTTTATATTCACATTTCTTTCTCCTTTCAGTTTATTCCAAGCCAAGGAAACTTTCTACTTTTCACACATTTAAAACTTCTAATTCCAGACAAGTTCAGCCAAACAGCCTCAATTCAAGGTTATCAGGGTCTGGTTAACCCAGCTCTGCTTTCTTCTGCTAAGGTACCACATCTTGACTTTGTTCATGGAACAAAAGGTCAAGTATCACGGGAGACAGGAAGGAGTGGGAGGCAGGAGATGCTTAATCCACCGCCTCCTGCGACAAGCCAAAAAAAGCTCCACAAACTTGAGCGCTACAACTGCTTCATGTGAATGAACTGGTTCATTAAACTGTTTACATGAAAGCTTCAAACACAAGAGCTGCGTTTATGTCAATTTCTAAACAGTTGGACTCATGCTGAGATGTTTGCCTGTCATGATGGGGACTGCCTCAGACTAAGTGATTATAGGATGACAAACTCTCTCCTTTTCATGCGTGAGAGGCATGACAGACAGCACGTATCTCCCTGGTCAATCCGGCGCGCTGCCTTTCCTGACGACATTAGGAAAGAGGGCATAGTCAGTGTTTTTTTTAATGTAAACAGATCAGATACATGTGCAACATTGTCCCTATTATGTCATCATGCTAACAGTGATACACAGCTGGGCGGTGGAGAAAAGATTCTCATTAGCTGGCAAAATGCTTGGTGCTCACCAACCTCACAGAAGTGCCACCGCCCAACCCTCCAACGTAACAGCTTATTTTTACTGTCAGGATGTTGCGATGCATTCCAAGGCAACTTTAATTTTTGTGCATTATGACAAAAGAATCAACTGTTGGAGGACTTCACCCACTGCTGTTCCCAAACCAAAGCAAAGGCCCTGCGATGTCCGGGCTGGGCTATAACCAGGCTGATGTAGCTTTCCTATACATGGATTACGGCTAATCTCAGACTTACAAGACAAATTCAAAAAATGAACTCCACTGGAAGAACAGGTAGATCTCCTGGCTTGTCACAATGACACATCAAAAATGGGACAATGCTGCTGGCCTGAACTGTGGCTCACAAAGTGGCCTAGCAGTGGAATCAATGTGCACTTTTTACAAATATATCAACCACAAAGCTTTCATCTGCATCAAAGTATTCCTGACCTGAGATTGCCGTGGCTCCTTTCTTCCTACTTGACAAGTTGGGTAAAATTTCAGCTGCAAGAGTCAAATCAGACAACACTAAAGACAAGCAGAGCTTCAGCAACATAACAGCAGACTAGGGTCTTGGAAATAAACAGGATTTTGCACATTAGTGTTTTGTTTACTTCACTCTAGTGTTTCATTTATATTTATAAAAAAAGAAAAGAAAACAGAAGCAGACCCCTCTGTTTCATTCCCACCAAACATCTTCACTAAGTCATTAAGAGCATCGTGAAAATTGTAGTGCAAAGATGAAGCACCTGCCTCTGCACGCGAAGAAAAAGCAGGACACAAGCAACTACTAGTACACACTAAATATAGAGCTCCATCTCTTATGTGATGATGACTTCCTCTCGAAGGTGGTCAACAGCTGGCGACATAACGCTTCAGGAAAACTCATTAAATAGAGTGAGTCATCACTGCGAGCTGAGCCGTGCTATCAGGTGGCATAGGCAGAGGGCGGTGAGGAAAGGTCCAGCCCCTGTGCCCTCTACCGCAGCATCAGCCCGCCAGCAGTAACAGCAGCGGGCACAGTTTATAAACAGAGGTCAGTATAAATTCACAAAATATACTGCTTCCTGAGTACTCTAAGCGAGTGCCATGACCTGGCTCACGGGGAAACAACATAAAAAGGAAGCGTGCCAAAGGGAACGCTTAATTAAACCAAATGAAAGTGCCAAATTAAATATTTACAACAGGGAGCGTGGAAAATTAGCATTAAAGCAGTAGCAGCCAGGGAAGGAAATGAATACCAGCCACAGGGAAGCGCTAATCAGTTTTTACAGGTGTCCCAGTTTAACTTTGAATTTCACCAAATATCAGCTCTGATCAAGACCACACAACAGGCAGACGGCCTGAAAAGAAGGCCATGAGCCACCTCCTCAGTTACTGCTGTGCAGACTGTGGTGATGTGAGAGGAGAAAAAACAAAACAAGCCAAAACCAGGTTTGTGTGAGCAAATAAGGATAACTCATGGTTAAGATAACCTCCTATTAAATCCATCTGCTGACTGCAAACTGTTGAGCAAGCAATAGAAAAGATAACGTAGACAACCATTTGAACATTTATGTAGTCGTTATCATTTTCCCTTTGTCCTCTCCAACGGATCTACTGTAAACCACACTGGTAAAAGTGGCCTATATCTGCTTGCATTTACAGATGGTCACAGCCAAATAGTCTCACAATTATTAGACAACACAGCAACTTTTTGATTACTCATTTGGCAGGTCAGTGATAATACAGTGAGAATTATTAAGATATATACTTAACAAGTGTGCACACCCTTGGGTACAGCACAGAAAAAGATTACACAAAGTTTGAGAGACGGCCAGCTAGAATTAGGACGAAAACTATTCCTTAAGCTCCTCTGATCTGCTCAGACTGTAGAGAAAAATGTTCAGGGGAGAAGCGGAGCAGGGTGGAACACAAATTAAATGCACTGGCAATCACGATGACATCACGAATCCTAAACTTCAAAGGTCAAATGTTTCATTTCATCTGAACACACCCGCAGGTGGTATAACACTAAATTACGACCCACTCCTGGGCCATGTGCCACAAAAGAGTAAGATATCTGCACATTTTACTGCTTCTTAAAAAAGCTGTGGTCACACTTTAACCTGGTAGACAAGAGGCTGTTAGACACCTGTTGATCTTTCCTCGATAAAAAAGCTGGCTGGTCAACTGTGTTTCCAGTTTCAACTGGAAACGCAGTTGACCCCATCTGACCTGTACAGAGGAGTGTAAAATGACAGCCAGAGGTTAACAAAGTTTTGTCTACTATCCATGTTATGGAAAATCAGAGATTCACTGCCTACCAGTCTGACACTACATCATACAGCCATGATGAGGCCTGCGAGACAGTTAAGGAAAGGTTGGATTTCATGGAGGCATCAATGAATTATATATGACTGGGTGTGAGACTCAGACATTACTGTTAACTAAATAGCAGTGGGTGATTAAAGGGACAAGGAACAGTGCTTGTTTTTTAGCCTTGAATGCAGAAGGAATATAATCCCCGCTTCTAATGAACCCTATTACTTTATTTTCCTCTAAGATTTATCTTTGCTTTTTCAAATCCAAAGCAATCTCGTGGCAGTTTGTAAAGCTGTCACACCTGCTGCTCTGCAAACTCATGTCTGTGGACATGTGTTTTGTTTTCTTGAATTGAATCTGCTCTGTCGTGTTTGTAATGATCTTGATCCACGTACAACACAAGATCAACATTTTCTGCTTTAAAAAAAAAAAAAGCAAAACAAAAAAAAGACAACTTCACCCACATTTAGGGGTGGCTGGGGGTTGTTGACGGAGCGACTCCTTTTTCCGCTCACATCAGAGCCATATAGGAGTCACATACCATTCACACTTTTGCATTATTTATTAACACATAATATGTGATTAATTCAAAATACATAACTTGGTTAGGTTTGGAAAAAGAAAATCACAGCTTGGGCTAAAAATGCAATGGCTGCTAGTTATTTTTGAACTATGTTTTCATGGTCACCATGGTAACGTGTCCAAGATTCTTGTGAACAACAGCTCATTCAGACATGCCAATCTTTCTACTGAAACACAAAACTTTGTATTTGTGCCAAAGGTCATGATAAAAAGGCCCCAATTCATGTCCATGAACGCAAATTGCTGGAATAGCGGATCCTGTTTGTTTCATTTAAGAGATGATAAAGAAAAAAAATTCTAAAAGGTGCATCGCACTGACTGTAAACCACAGCGTTAGACTGAGAGTGCATGAAGCGCGTGAACACGGACAGGTGGTCACATAAATGAATGGTGGGTTTTTGTAAAGCTACTTCAGGATATCCTGCTGGCAGAGCGAGCTGGTGGAGGGAATGGGATGTTTTATACAATTGAAGATGATAAGAAGGAGAACATGTTTGTGCTGTTGCTCTTTGTTAGTGCTGCCAACTTAAAATCATTGCAGAAATTAGCCTTACCAACTCTTTTGTGAATGACATTCAACAGGGCAAATTATTCGGTATATAAACTGCCTGTATTCTACAATAAAACCTTCAGATAATAAGCCTTTAAATACATTCATGCACACATTGACTATTGGGATGTTTAAAAAAAAAACCTGCTTTGTAACGCTGTGCTGGTACCTATGAAGGAGATTTTGACCTCCAAATACAGGACACTCATTAGGACAGAGATAAAAATACAAGCATTTAAAAAAACAAAACAAAAACACTGTTATTTAACAAATGGCCAAAAATAACAAGACCATCTCTGTTGAGTAAGGTAACACAGAGTCATTGCTTTAACTATACGCAAACCAGTGATGTACATGTGTAACCGCCCCCCCAAAAAAAGTCCCATTTAGAGATAGAAACCCTGGACTGATAAGGCTTTAAAACTCTAGATGATTCTGAAATCAGCTTTATTGTGCATTACATCTTCCTGTGTTGCTTAACCATTTGATTCTCAACAATATCTATCAGACTAAATAAACAACTTGATTAGTATGTCTCGTGGCTTTTTGGTTTTGATTTATTTTGTTGTTTATTTGTTTTGGGGGGAAGGGATGACAAGCATTTACCCAAGGTTTTGAAAATTATGAAAAATGTTTGAAGACAAAACATTAACATCTATACTGGTACAATATGAGAGCATGGATGCTCTGCATGCAGACAGTGTTGACACGGTCCAGCTCGAGTTCTCCATGGATTTGGTGCTTGGCTGCACACGGGATCCATCCAGAAAACTCTTTTTCCTCCACTTCCTCGTCAGTCAAAGAGAGGCTATTTTTAGAACAGTACAGAAAAAGCTTGATTCACTGTTGAATTAGGAATTCACTATTAACTGCCATCCTGGTATGGCCTAATTTCTCATGCTGCAGCTCAGAGAGAGCTCCTCCTGTCTAGACGTGATGGCACGGGATAAACAGCAGGCACAGTGGATGGTAAATCACAGTTAGCCTCTGCCAAGTAAAAAGAACTGGATGGTTACCCTTTGAAAGTAACCAGTAAGACATGTGGAGGGTTTATTCATGAACATGATAACTGCTGTTATTGATAGAGTCCAGTGAGCTCCCAAAAATGTAGCAGCATTTGGCAGGTGGGTGGTGTTAATAAATGTCCATGACTATAAAGCACACAGAACTCATTTCATGTAGTGCCTCAAAAGCCCTCATATGTTGTGTACATTCATTTTTTGACTTCATCACATCAACATATGTAAAGCTGTATCCTGTAAGCAGGGTTCATTTTTTAAAAGTTTAGCCCATACAGCAAATGTGCTTTGCAGTGACTCAAACTTGCTCAAGGGTTCACTAATGAGGAATCTGAACCTCTCTGCATTAACCTTGATAACTTCCTGTGCAAACGTTATTCTTTTTTGCTTCAGGTATTCCTCCTGTCACAAATACCCGACTAAGTCACCATTTTTGATCTTATTAGGATTTGTGTCCACTCCTCGATCACACTATGCCAAGTCTCCTAATGTCACACATTACCGGGATAATCAAAAAACAGCAGAGCCAAATGGAACCACCTTGCTTACTTATATATTGTCCCTTTGTTAAAATTTTACCTTGTTGGCACTAATACAACCTAATTCAACAGTTCAAAAGTTTGCTTACGCACAGTTGCCTGAGAGAAAACAGAAAGTTGGCTGTGGAAATGACCTAACTGGATTCGGTCATTTGGTTCATGTTCCCTGCCACAGTCAAATGCATATGAGAAGGTGAGGCTCCAGACAGAGAGAAGAGAACCTGCAGCTCTTGTCAACTCAATCCTCAGCACAAGTACCTAACAGGCAACAGGATGGCTGATTAAGCAGTTCTCTGCACCGGTTTCTGCATATCAGCATTTCATTAGGTACCCTAGTCACGTCCCTGTGAGACTATTGGCCCACTCTGATTTATTTGCCCTGCAATGGTCCCGAATCTGAAGCAACCCCACCCCCATCCTTGATATCTTTGCTTGGTGTCCTTTACTACTAGTGGTTATGTGAGCAGTCGCGCTGGCCAACATGAAGTTGGATGTTAAGCCAAATAACGTGAGGTGCCCATAAAATCTGATAGGCAGCTGGAAATAAAGGTCAAATTAGATGTGTTCAGAAAGCAGAGGTTATACCGAGCCTCATGAATATTCAACAGCAGTGTTATGAGATGTGAGTGTGTCCCCCCTCATATCTGATAAGAATCCCACATTATTGCTGTTCACATCAATCTGAGTTCAGTGAGGCAGGAGCGCATCTACACCCTTTTTAATTTGACTAGGTGGGATACTGTCACCTCTTCAAGGATAGTCTTTCTAAAACACTAAATCAGGGAGAGCCTTATTAACCATTTGATATATGCTGATGATTTGGATGTCCTGTCTCCTTATGGTGCTGGCTTGCAGCAGCTGTTTCAGGTCTGTTGAAGGTATGGTTTACAGTATGGTACTGAATTCAACCCTTGAAAGAGCAGAATAATAATCACCTTGACTAAAGTGAATCAGAATCCTTGATTTTCCCCCCACAGCATATTTGTGGTGCTCTGGCAGTGTATCAAAAATGCAAAAGCTTGAGGTAGCATAAAGTGATGCATTCAGGATCTTACTCAAAGTAACATGATGTTTGTGACTGCTAATGTCCTTTCATGCTTTGCTGAGCAATTCTATATGCCGATGAACTGATTCAGAAAATATGATCATGTTTCTAGTTTGTTTTTTAAGGTTTGTTTTTCTTAAGTGATACAACATATTTCTTTTGCTTTTCTAAACATACATACATGTTTACCACAGACAGTTGTTTCAGTGATAATGTCAGTGTCAGACATAAATATTAGAGGAAAATGAAAGAGGACACAAATCTGAAGTCTGGCAGACTAATCAAATCTTTGGCAACACGTAGTATTTAGTATAAAGTTTAAGCCGTAAGGACAGTGTGGTCTAGTAACAGGGTGTTGATTGTAGCTGTGCTGTAAATGTCGTAGATATCGATCACTCTAATACATCCTTTAACAGGCAAAGTGTTACACGGTGCTTGCATTAGACATGCATCGCATGCAGTGTATTTCTTTAATATGCAGAGGTTTTTTTCCTTATCCAAAGCTTGATCCATGACCATAAAACAAACCACTTGCTGCTTAAAATCACTGGCAGAGAAGGTTGATGAAATTAATGGCCTTAGATTAGGTCATGAAAATCCTCGATCCTCTCGCAATACATTAGTCTACACATCCATGCGTAAACGCGCCACTTTTTGCCCAACTTCACGTTATTATGCCTATTATGGTAATGGTCATCTGAGAGCTGTCACTATCGCGGTAACAGCTCCACACCTTCTTTTACTAGTGCTGATTCATGCTACTACACAGTGATGGGCACTGAAACCTCCAACAGAATAACCGTTTGTTAGCAGGCGTTACAGTCACACTGCATGTGGTGATTGTTTATTACAGGCTAACCTGCTTCGAAGGGGGTGTAATTTACACTAATTTACACCGTGTAAACGTTAGCGCTCGGTCATACCTCCCATCAAGGTTTAAATCAGAGACAAGACATCACACTGTCTGATACTTACAGAAACACCCAGAAAGTTCTCAATTCGGCACCACACATTGCCGGCAAACATTAACAGCCAATGGGGTGACAGCGGGGTAACGTTAGAAAGGCTAACAAGTGTTTAGCCATCGTTAGCTAACGTTACTCGGCTACCAGCCTCAGCACAGCTCAGGCAAAACTTACTGTTGGTCATCCTCCGAGAGCCCCGGGACTTGTTCTGTAATCTCTTTTGGCTCATCGTCGGGCAGCGACTTGTTTGTAGCGCTGTTCTTGTTTTTCAGGATGCCTTTTATCGGCCGGGGAGCTGCCATTCCCACACGCTGACTGTCAGACCGGTGCTGGCTTTCAACTATTTCTCCTGCGCTGATTTTCTTATTCTGTGATTTATACGATTCAGTTACAAAACACAGACCCTGGTTTAATGGTGCACTCCGTCATAACTCAGTGCTCGTCCTCAAACTCCGGAGAAATCTAGTCAGGATCCTGCATGTCTACTCTCTCCCCGGTTGTACACTGACTGGTTGGGCGGCGGGGTAACAGCGCTACTAGCGGGTCTGGTCGACGCGACATATCGCGGGATTTCTAAACGAGATTTCATTTTTTCATCTGGTGCTGCGTTTTTGCGCTCGGAAAGGACAGATTTTTACAAAGACGAGCCATTTAAAAAAAACTTACAAAAGACAAAACCCCATAACAATAACAAGATTATAATTATCTAAAAATAACGTAGGCTGTCACCTTTAATTGATAGGGTCAATTCTACATAAACGTGCTAAAATGTATTTATTTTTCACATTTTTAAACACTATAACAATATTACAATATAACTTTTTGACTTCACATATCGTTAGCTTCATAGCATAAGTGCCTAAGTCATTTTTTGGTCAAATTGAAAATATCAATTAAAAATATGCATGTGATATTTAGAAAATTAGTTTTGTCTTGTTTTCCGAAAACACAAAAAAATGACTTAGGCACTTATGCTATGAAGCTAACGATATTCTCAAAAATGACAGCTTAATGATTTTAATGATTTAATGATTTTTTAAATAATTTTTGTACATTTACCTTACTCCTTCGGCAACTCTGATCAATTGCTTGCTTTATTTAAAAAAGAGAAAGAAATAAAGAAAGAAAAAAGCAACAAAAGTGTCGTGAAAACAGTTAAATAAGAAAAAATGACACTTCACTTTCACCAACAACACTTTCTACATAATTTACATGCTTCAACAGGAGTACGATGAAAGGCATTTAAAACCTCAGGAAATATTACTTCTTCAATCTCTCAGCACATTTAGTCACAGAAGAAGAGGAACGCAACAAATCCGGATGAGATTACCATTTTCAATCAGCTTTGTTAAAAGTGTGACATTTATTTGCTACAACAATGAAATTATTAGAATAAGAGTTAAAAATGAGTAATGATGGACTCCTTTTGATCTTAACCCTGAAGTCTAAAAAAAATTGATAGATGTAAAATTATCAATTTATTGTGTTTAATGTGCCGGGGGGAAAACACACAGTAACACCAGTGACACACATTTGGGGACACATATGGCACACAGCTGCGGTATACAGTACTTTAAGAACCATTGATGCTTGAAAGAACTGCATGAACAGCTTTTGATCAAGTTTATTTGCACAGTCAAATAAAGTCACTGGTGTTACCAAGATCCAGTTATTAAGTAAGGGCTCTAGTGTTATGTAAGGGAACATGCCAGTGACAATTTTCATGAAAAATGGCTGCTACAGGGCATCAAACCACATGGTGTCAGTCATATTTATTTTTAAAAAAAAATATTGCATTTTAAATGGTAAAAAAATATTTTTGACATAAAAGCAAAGCTGTGGCCACAAGCACTCATATTGTGCTTGAATTGATGTATAACTGATTTAATAACCAATACTGTCAAAGTGATGGAAGGTGTACTTGTTCAAATAACATTGTTTCATTTTAGGAAATAAATCATTTGTAACTTTGAAGCATTTGTGAATGTGTGTGTGAATGGGTGGATGACTGGATATGTAAAGCGCTTTGGGGTCCTTAGGGACTAGTAAAGCGCTATATAAATACAGGCCATTTACCATTTACCATTTTTTTAAGTGTAATATTTCTTTAAGGGACAGAAAAACAGACATTTCCATTGAATGACCTCATAGTGGATACTTTTTAATTCTAACAGTGCGTGTTTCACAAGAGACATGCAGCCAGAGGTATAAATGTCACACCACTTTAGCAGAATTATATACGTATTTGCACTCTACCTGTGTGCCCCTCTTTTGTGGGTAAGTGTATCAACTGGTACTGAACTCATCAATGACAACACGGAGCTCCTGCAGCTGAGCCTGTGGTGGTTTGTGAAGCACCCATCTTCAGCTGCTCAGTTTTACAAAACATTTACTTTTTTCCCCAAAATCAAGGTGTTTTTATATTCCCATTTAAAATCCTCTTTTTTTTAATGACCAGAACTACACTTTAGCTATAACCTTTGAAAATATGATTTCAATTCTGTATCCTTGATCAAAAAGTGTGGTTTTTTTTGTCTTTGAGTGTGTTTCACTTTCATTAAAAGAAATGAAATCAAACAGACTACATTCTTAAATTTCATTGTGACTCAGAAGACACCCAGTAGTTGTTTTTCTTAGTTGATTTATGTGAACAGCGATATGCTAAATTTGCTCTTAATATAAACCCTGTGATAGCCATATCAATGCAGTCTCCAGCCTTAAAGTAAAGTACTGATGGGTTGTCCAACTGCAGTTGTATACAGCACCTTGAGTTACATAGCCTTGTTGCCTAAAAACTATTTTACAGCTGCTTCCTTTTAAAACAAATGGCAACTACTGTCTTTAACCGTTACTGTAAGTGTGTTACAAAACTGTGCAATGGTGACATGTTGAGTTGTGTCATCCCTGATTCAAGGCCAGTCCTGACTTGGACTTTTGTCTCATAATATGTTGCATTCACAAACACATTTTCAGCTCTACAGGATAACTATATATCCGTGACTTCAATCTTTCTGTCCTTCTTTTTAATAAAAGGCAGAGACACAGGGTGGCAGCCTCACTAAGCCTGGGGGTAAAGTCTCTGTTTCAGTTCTTAGTTTGGTCTTAGGCTCCCTGGGTGGTTGAAGCCATCTACCAATAATTTACTCCCTAGCATGGCTCTGCAGGCAGCAGCAGTGTGCTGGGATCGATTGCAGGCTGCTTTGTTTTGCCCCAACTGCAGCAAGTGTTTGGATGCGATGGGAAGGCACATATTTCTAAGAAATACAAGTGAGCCCAGCTTGTCAGCTGCAAAGAGCGCACAGTCCTTGTGACCATGCTGAACTGCAATTTTCAAAGGTTTACAGCCTCCAGGGTCAAGCTCAAAATGCTTTTGGTGATAAAGAGTTCAAGGCTGAGGGTTTGGCTGCTCTCTGCAGCTGCTTGGATGAGACACTTTCCGGTGTCTTGGTGTGCTGTTGATTGGCACCACAGTCAGTAGGGACAAAGCCCTGCTAGTTTCCCAGGGTGTGTCCCCTTCTCAAGCAACCAACCCAGCAGATTCAGGTGGCTGGAAGTGGTGGCAACATACAGCGCCACCCACAGCTAAAACTAAAACTAATTACCTCTACAGCACTCACCATAAAACCACACACTTTACAGAGAAGCACAGAAGAAAAGCCTGACATACCTGTTTCAGTGCCATAGTCCAGCCAGTTGGATGGGTACAGTTGGACACCAGCAGGTGTGCAGAGTCTGCACAGATACCATTGTTTGCAGTTTGGTCACAGACGTACAAAGGAGAGACCTTAAGTCCTGCGACTGGTAACAATCCTCCTGTCACAGTATTGATAAGGCACATCATAGGCCTTTGTTCACTCGGAAACAATGGCACAAAGACGTGGAAGTTGAGGCAAAAGCACAACAGCAGTCATAATCCTCGTCCTTCTATTAGTGGAAACTTTGCAATCTGTAATAGAAATGTCGACTAAACTAGCACAGATTGTAGTCAACGCCTTAAAGTGGCATGTTTTTTTTTGTTTTTTTTTAAAGGTTATGTAAAAACTGAACACAGGGAGGACACAAAGTATCATTATAAAATGATTCAAGAGTTTGGTGCCACACAGTGGTTGTAATTATACAGTAACATGGAGAAAAGCGCCACCTTTTTTGACTAAATGGACTGGATTATACTGAATGTACCTGAAAGGGTAAAGAACTGCTTTACTTAAAATGAATGCTTTTTATTTACTTACATTATAAACAGAGCTCTAATGTGGATGTTTGTTTGTTTTTTTCATATACTAAATGAGTTGTTAGATGTAAAACAACACGACAAAGTGAGCTGGACCGAGGCCGACACTATAAGATGCACACAGGTGTGTGTGTGTGTGTGTCACCTACTAAAAATAATGAGGACAAACTAGAGATTTTACACAGCTGTAACTGATTTTTCACTCACATTGTAACATCTTGATTTTTCTGTATTAGCGTAGCAGTCGGACATAAGATCTACTACTTTCAGCACCTGCATTTAAGTGAGATGATTAATGATAGTGTGCAGTGCAGGATCCTTCAATAAAGCTTCTGTGGTAGAAAGCATTAGACCATTAACAAGTTTTAAATCCTTTCCATCTTCTCCACACCAGCATACGTCATACCTTATCATCTGCAATCTGTTGGACACACCCAGCAGTCTATAGCACCACCCTACCTTTTAATTAACCAATTACCACACAGTGTAAAGGGATAGTTCATCACTTGAAATTCTATTTTATGTTACACTAAATCCTTGAATTGTTACGTATAAAGAATATGGAAATACTAAGAATATATAACATTCTAGACTGGTTACATTGAGATTACAATGTTAAGATTACATTGTGTACATTATAAAGTCTGGTGCAGTAGAAATCTGGGCTGCACGTGACAGTCCAAACTGGAATTTGATTGATGTCACCTACACAGCTGACCTGCTTCTGTTTTCACAGTGATGTCACCACATGTGACTCTTGGTCACAAAGTTCAGATGGAGTTAAATATTTGTTGTCTGACACTGCAGTATGAGCACAGTGTGGTCTACATCAGCATGTTGCTGTTCTAATTCTTGATTTTCTTTAACTTTAGGTCAGCAGTAAGCCTGACTTCATCACTCAGCCATTCTTTTGTTTTCAGCTAAAGTGCACAAGCGAACCAAGAAGGGGACGACCACGAGACAAAAGGTTGCGTGGGCTCGTTTGGAAACACGTCGCCGACCCCCAGCACTCTGACGTCAGCTCTTTGCTCTGCTATTTATTGAGAAACTAAAGAACAGCCCAAGTGTGTTCAAGGTTGGAGTAATGTGAAACGTTTTCTGGATTTTATAGTTCTGTGAGGTTTAACAAGAGGCCGCCCATTTACATTTGACCTTTCAAAGTCTAAAGGAGATCCTGGTTTTCCTTTTGTTCACTGCTGACCCAAATGAAACAGTTTAACGAGATTCTCGACCTACATTTTATAAATATTCCTGTTTATAGACACAAATCAGGACACACACATACTGTCTGAATGTGGAGACATACATATATCAAACAAAGAAAGCCACAGGATTGTAAAGGTGGATGCTTTTATGGACCACACATGCTCCTCTTAAATTTTTTTTTTTTAAAGTCAATTTCTTTTTAATTAAACCATGAAAACTTCAACCAGTGCAGGTTTCAGTTTTTTTCTTATGCGTTTTTAAAAATTACTTATTTAATAAATACTCTTATATTTATAAGATATCCCCCAAAATATTTTAATTATATATTAATCCTTCCGTGCTGGTTGATAAAATGAGAAGGGAGCACTGTAGTTCCCCTATTTTACTGAGGAATAACTTAGATCTTAAAAAATATGTAAAAGCTGTTTTAACTGTTTTGTAATAAATACTTTTTACTTGCCGATTAAATTGTGACGTTAAGTAGACGAAAAACAAGAAATGAAAAGTGTTCATTAGGAAAAGTATACCCTTTACTGGTGTGATACTTTAGGCCTGGGTAGTAATTTTGGAGGTGGTATTTGAGATTACAGGCTGAAGTTTCAGCTTGTTCGTGGCTTGGGGGGAAATTTTTCTACATGCTGGTGTTTGTGTGGATGGATTTCTGCGTATTGCTGTGAGCAGTTCTTGTATGCACCTCAGATGGAATTCATTTCCTAGTGATGCATGACACATACAAGCTATTACTAAATGATGCACACACTTTGCCTGTCCTATTGTTGCTTTAGACAAAGGCACATAATTGGCACATGGAAGAGGGCATCATTTTTTATTATCCTGGTTATAAAACAAAATTAAAACGCGTAACACAAACTTGAAACAGGCTTTGTTATTTAGTCATTAACATTTTCAAAGGGTCAGCAGGGAGCTCCATTTTTGATTTAGCAGAACTACACACTGGATGCCATTCATTTTGCATCCCCAAAGGTATTTGTGCACTAACTGGAGATCTTTTGCTTGTTAGCCAACTGTGTGAACCACTACATTATGGAGCCATTTACTAATATACTGACTTCATGTGATTCTATTCCTGTCAATAAACAGATTAACCTCTATTTAACAATTAATTGCACAATGGATTTTATGGGAGAATATGCCACCTGTAAAGATGCTGGTAGCAGAACTTCTTTGAGTAATGTGCCCCATCACTTACCCTGAAGATTCACTAAGATAAAAAACTGAAACGGGCATGCCTCCTTCAGTGCATCTATCAACACATGACTCTAACCTGTCCTTTATGGTTGGGCTTAGCTTGAGGCAGAAAGGAAACAATAACATAACTGTAGGTTTGGAAAGGCAAATAGGTGTAGAAAATGAAAGAGCAGTTTAAGATCTAGGTAATTACAATTTGGAGTCATGGTGCCCTCCTCCCTCTAGGTGCAGAACCATTGTCTTTCTTTTTACAACTCTTTATATTCTACTCGTCTCTACCTCTCTCTCTCTTTCTCTCTCTCTCTCTCTCTCTCTGTGTGTGTGTGTGTGTGTGTGTGTGTGTGTGTGTGTGTGTGTGTGTGTGTGTGTGTGTGTTGTGACTTTTCCAGGACAAGGGTGTGGTCCCATCTCCACTTACTGCCCTCTCCACTTACTGGCAGACTGTTGTTCTGCTCCATGTGGCAGTATACCTCAGGGCCACGTTCTACTTTAAAACACTTACCTGTCAACTTGCTGACCTTGATCTTGGGACTTACTTGCTTGTTTTCTTCCTCCTTCCTGCCTGTTTAGAAACTTTCCTGAATATCTGCGTGACCCACTCTCTCTCAGTCTCAATTGGAGACTCACCTGTTCACTCTGGAACCACAACACTCCAGAAAAGATGCAGAATACTTACCTGAGTGAAGTCCTGGTCTTTGGAAAACCACCTTTGATTATTCTCTTGAAACTGATCATTTAAACCTGTTGAATCATTCACCTGTGTCCTGTCATTGCGTCCCCAGCAATCTTCCATCATGGTATGAAGAGTGACGAAGTTTGGCCACATAAAACAAAGTTGTGAACATGTAGTAAACGCTTTACCCCCAATATTAGGTTAAGGTAAAAGCATATTTCTGTGCCTCTGTTTTGACATCTGTGTCTAATATTTTTCTTCTTCTCTGTAACCATCCTAAAGCCCAATTAGCCCAATTAATGAGCTTCTCAGTCAGGAATGATTGCCTTCAAATTGTTTGGAAATACCTTTATAAACCCTTTCTAAGCTGATGGGCAGCAGCAATTGCTTCTTTCAGATCACTGTTCTTCTTTGGCATTGTGTTATCTGGATGAGAAAACAGCCAAAACATCTGCTTTACTAGAGGTGCTTGCCCTCGTTGATGATCAGTCTAATGAGATGGTGTAATTAATATGTCATGTGTTGTAGCTGTGGTTCATCAGAAGCGAGATAAGGTAAATAGAAAAATATTACTTAAAGTGGCATTTCTCATTATAAATCGTTTATTGTTTTAGTCAGTGCTGTATACAGTACTTTACTTTTAGTGACAACTATTTTCTATTTCACAACTATTTTCTGGCATGTGTATAAAAACGTACAAATAGATAAAAACTACAACCAATGATCCTTTGAAAAAAGAAAAGATGCACCCCTTTTTCTTTAGAGGGTGCTAGAGTTTTAAAAGTGAGTCCATTGTATTCTGAGGGGCGGATGCTAACTTCTGTGGCGATAAGAAGAACCGTTTGTTTCCCCGGTTTAAAATATATGGTTTCTTCCTATTTTGATTTCTGTTAGCAGGAAATCTTCTAAAATCTCTGAAGCCACTGCAGTACAGCTCTAAATGTAGCCTGGCAAGCCCCCCTCATCCGAACAAGGCTGTTAACGGCAAATGATTGTACCGTCACGTGGATCTGTTTACGTCTTGAGTCACTTCCGGAAAAACTGACGATTGACAGGTGCTTTATCCAATCAGAAGCTGGAAGTAGAGTAGCGGAAGTGTGCGCTATCGCTTGAAAGAAGAAGCTAGCTGAGGGATTAAACTGTTTACGGTCGGGTTTTTTAACCCTCCGCTCTAACGGAATGTAGTATATCAAAACCTTGAACTTGCATATGTATCTTTACACAGCTTACAGTAGAGGAAAGCTATGTCGCTGTCAGCAGCTCAGTTCCTGGACGAGATAAACGCGCAAGCAGAAATAAAGGTAAACACCCGGGAGAAGCGGACTAGCCACCCATGCTAACCCAATGCTAAGCATTGTAGAGGGACGCTCTGTTTTTGTAGCTAGCTGCACACCTTTTAGGGTGTCCTCCCTGATTTATTTATGTACACAGCTACATCCGCAAAAAGCGTTTCTATTTTAAAGTGCTTGACATTACCGCTGTCATTATCGTGGGAGGAACTGTCTTGTGTGTAAAGGGTATAATTATTCCCTGGGGGTTGGTTAAACTGTTTTCTGATGTGTCGCTGAAAAAATTGGGGAGTGTGTTTCCTCATGTCACTCATGTCACTCATGTCAGGCACACTAATAATTAAATATGTCCACCTTGCCGTCATTGCACGAGGTTTTTCCGTAAAATGCTGCTGTCATTTGATGTTTAGTCATCATGTGCAGGTCCCCGCGATGTTGCTTTCACTTCCCCTTTGAGCTTTTTTTAGTTATTAAGAAAGAAAACTACTACTATTTTACTCCGGTTTAGTCTTTTTTTTCTGGCTATGCTGCCACAGTTTTCACCTTACTTGCTAATAATTTGTTGGATTTGGATCTAATAGTTGTAAGCAGCTGTTGTCGTTGAGAATGCAGACTGGTAAGAAAGCATGTTTGAACATTTTTTTTCTTTGGATTAATCGATAGCTCTATCACGTTGTGCAATAAACCTTAGTGTTGGGTTACAAGTTTATGTTGTACTGTATGTACCGCCATAGCTCATCTTTTCTATGCATCACTGAGATAGGCGGCTTTAAGTCTGTATGTCATGGATCATTAAATAATAATGCATAAAATTATTTACCTTGTGAATTCATTAGGTGTAATGGCTAATTTTAAAACACATCGTGTTGGGTGGAGTCCTCAGAGATCCAGGACTAGACCCAGGACCAGGGCACAGTGTGATGACAGCAAAAATATCATGTCATATTTTTATTTCATCTTGATGGATGAAATTCTTGGAGTGGATGTAAGCGACTTTTCTTCTGGACAGCCAAAAGCTGGCCACAAAGTTATGAGGCTTAGTATCTCTCTGCATCACACCACTTTATTGATAGAATATCCTCCACAAACCATGCTCTCAGTTATACCTAATACAGGTGACGGAAGTAGGATTTGATTTCAGTGTGCAGCTGTGGGTGTGTTTGGTCTTCACACATTCAACCTTGATTGCCAACTCCTCACCGTTGGCATGTTGGTGCGGATTCCCAACTCTCAACTCCATGGCTTCACCTTTGTCACCTGTGTTAGGTTCGTGTGAGAGCTCAGTTTGTGGAGGTTTCTCATGGGATGGTTGTCAGTCAGACAGAATGATGGAAGCGGATTCTGGCAGCTCTTGTAACCCCAGCTCTTAGCTCAGTCTTTAGTTGCATTCCTTGTTAATCCTTTAACACCCAAGTATCACACATGCTGCCTGGAGTTATTTTGTAGGTTGGGCTGTAAAATGAAAAAGTAATTCTCATCATTCAGGAACCATTTGAATTTCCTCTCTAGCCCAATGTGGTTGATGGGTTATGATAATGTGAAGTACACACGGTAAACTGCTGCAGAGCTGATTTTTCTGTGTGCAGACAGCAGTACCATGTGAATGCTTTGTGTTACTGTGACACAACGTAAACTAGTCTTCTCTTCACAAATGTTAACAGAGTTACGTTACTTAAAGAGTGCTTGTAAATAGGGCTGTTCGATATAACGATATATATCGGATGACGATATAAAAACGTCTATCATTTCATTTTACGCTATCGTTTGTTTCGTGGTGTAGCAAAATAAACTGTTTATGGCAATATTTTTTTCATCGTTTTGATGGTCACTGTAGTGGCTATATTAATTTCTTAAAGTTCTCTCTTTCTCTTATATTTAATATAACCACACTACAGACAGACAAGTGCTTGTTTTTATGTGTTTAGCAACGACGGGTGCTAAAAAAATAAACCTTAGACTCAAACGTTAGGATAGGCTTTCTAACGTTTGAGAAAGAAAACGGCGGCCGTTAAAACTTGCGTGTAAAAATGTATAGTTTCATGCATCGGTTAAAAACACTCGACTCCAGCTACATGACGCGCAGCTGGAAACACTTCCCGCATGTCGAGCTGCCCGAGATTCGCAGAATTTACAGAAAATGTTACATTTTTGTGATTTATATCGTTATCCGACGATAGATGTCTTATATCGGGATATGAGATTTTGGTCATATCGCACAGCCCTACTTGTAAAGTGGGCTCACTGGTGGACCCACTGGTCCTGGGTGGCAGAGCAGAATATCTACCAAATGAAAGTCAGTGGATCGATCCCTGACTTCTTCAGTCCACATGCTGAAGTAACCTTCGGCGAGATGCTGAATCTCATGTTGCATCCACTGGAGCGTATGTGAATGTTAGAAAGCTCTTAGGCATAGATGTAAGTGGTGTATGAATGTGTGTGTGATTGGGTGAATGACATTTGTAGTAGAAACCTCTTTAGGTCCTCAGCTGGGTAGAAAGATGCTATGTAAGTACAGGTACATTCCTGATTTAATATTAAGTGGATAGAAGAAACTGAATTTTTAATTAATGTAAAATTTTAAATAGTTTTTTGCTTTTTTGTGTGAACAAAAGAATCTATTCTTTTCAAGACTTGCATAGTAAAGGGGATTTATTATGCCTCTTTCTAGCTCTATATACACATTTCATGGACTCCACTAGAGGAGCTCTGCAAGTCATCTTAAACTAGGTTTTCATGTAGGCTTTGAGTATTCAGAGCTTGCGCCTCACGGGGATTACTTTACTTATGCTAACCTTATTATTTGAAATAGTCTTTAAAGAAAACATCTCATATTATATCTGTCTATCTAGCTCTCTAAAAGAGAACAAGACAAACTCGTAATGAGTCCTGATTGGCTGGAAACAGTTACTTAAGTAAAGGCGAAGCCATAGAGAAAGTACCTAAAGTTTCAGATCTCTCTGATTAAAAGTACTTTTGTTTTGAGATTGTTTGACTTGGCTGAGGGCATCAGGCTCTGCCCTCACAAGGCAACATGCTGTACTTGAGGTGCTCAGTAAAACCTTGTTTTGTGGGAAACGGCAGCAGCATTAGCAGGACAGTAGGGAAAGTTGCATAACAGCACTTTTGTTTCACACAGATGTGATCAGAGCTCAGAAGTAAACAATTTAAAGTGACTGTGCAGATTGGACGGCTAAAATGGGCGTGATTCATGATTAAATCCACAATAGTTTGTTTGTAGCTCAGATTGAAAGAAGATTCGCCTGTTATTTGTACAAGCAGATATTTTTATGTACATTTAAATCACTAATTTTAGGAAACGAAAAAGAGAACGTTGTTATTATTATTAAACTCACTTTGTATTTCCAGATTATAATGATTAAAAGAAGTTTACTTCGAGGCAAAAATGCTACAAGTCTCAAGTTTACATATAGTACCTTAATAATAAGTGAGAACTGGTGTTGCTAAAGCTGTTAGTGCCCATCTGTACCCAGCATCGCTACTACAGTAATCTAGGTAAACTAGACATGTGGCATTAGTCTGTCAGTGCGTTACATCTTAAGCATACACGTAAGATCAAAAGTTCACATCGCATACACATCCTTCTGACTCACACGCTCTTCCTGTATTAATCTGATTAGAAAACATTTTCTCTGAAAGGCTCACAGTAAACTTGAAACTCCTCATGAACTGCTCTTCCAATTTGGCAATAACACCTAAGCTTGGAAGGCCTTCAGCTCTTAGTTTCTCCTGACCAAATCACATGCTCCCCTCCACTTTGTGACCTTGATCCCTTTTAGCTCTGATGTTTGGGATGAAGCTCACTAAAAGAAAACAACATGATATTCTAATATTGACTTGCAGCGATAATCTAATGAAAATTTGCTCCAGCAGCAACCTGAAAGTCATGCTTTTTGTCTTTGTTTGCCCCCCAATAAGGGTCCCTCCCAGCATCCAAAAGAAAAAAAAAAGATTTTCTGATACTAAACCTGGGATTTATACCCTGCTCACACTTGTCTGTAAAGTTTATTAATAAGAGCAATGAAAGGAGACACAGGGGAGGTGCTACAGTTGATAAGTTGTCTTTTTTTCCTTGACAAAAACATTAAGTGTATGATTCTTCAAAATTAACAGATATTACA